AAATAACTCTAATCAATGCTCTGCATCACCTTCTGAGAAAAAACTTTAATTGGGAGTGGGGAGGGGGGTTGGCAGTGGTGGTGTTTCCATCAGAAAGGAGCAATAGCAAATAAATCATCTCTTTATTTCTATAAATGAGACAAAATTAATAAAGAGAGGGGAGACCTTAGCAAAGAGGGAATAGGAAAGAAATGGATTATGAGCTACATTGGGTTTGGTTGTTGTTCTCAAGGTATAAGTCAGCTATCCCAAGAACAGTGCACATTACTCAAATTCCACCAACAGGACTGGGGACTTCTCTGGGAAGTTGCAGCTGATATGGTGAACAAAGGGAAAATATTCTTGGCTCTTTATTGCAGACTGTGAACCAGTGGTGTGCTGGTAATAGTGAACATTGAGTCAGACGATTATCTTGGGATGTAAATTAACAAGTCCACTAGGAAAAACTTGTGAGGCAGAGAGGGGTTTTCCCATATTGCTCAGGATGCAGCTGCCACCCAACACCAGCCTGTGCAGGCTGGCATGTTTTGTGCCTCTCTGAGGCTCAGTTTACCCCAGGAGAACTAAATGACCCATTCAAGGTTGCTCAAGACATTTCTATGAATAACTGGCTCTGAATAACTGAAAGCCTCCCTGTCTCTGGGCCAATTTCCTTAACTACAAAACTGTCCTCCCTGTTTGCCTTGTGTTAAAGCAAATCCTTGACCACAGCTGTCCTCTTCTCTCTTCTCCCATGTCATCAGCCCAGCCTCCTGAATCCCTGCTGGCAGCAAACACTTGATCACATTTATCACATTATGGTATTTTTGCCTCCTTGGCCAAACTCTTCAAACTGCTCAGCTTGCAACAAAGCCACGACAGAACAACCTCTGCTGCCATTGCTGGTCCTGTTCCTTGCTTTCTGAGGTGCAGATGGAAATCTGACCTTCACCTTGGAGTGATTTCCCATTCATCACCAAGATGAATAGCTGTCGATCCACCCTGAGCCGCTTAGAGAGGTGCCTGGCGAGCGACCGGCGGCGAATTCTTCCCAGCTGCACCAGCAGGGCTGCTGCTCTGCAGCTCTGCACCCGCTGAACAGCGCTCATAATCCCAGACTTAACGTCAAATATTTTCTGCAAGGGAAATAAAAATGTCAACAGGAAGTGAAATGTGACCTGATTAACAGTTAGACCTCTGACTCTGCTTCGTTTTTGACGGATGTGGTGTTTTACAAGGATAATAATACCAGCGATTCCTCTTAATTGATGGACCCTGATGGAAATATAAATTAAGCAATTAATACGATTCTCTGAGACTCATAAAAATAAACTCTACGTAGAGATAGTCATATTTATTTTTTTAATTACTTTAAAAACATGTGTCATACAAAGCATTACAACATTTTCTCCTAGGGAAAGCCAAGGCAAGTTTGACCTCCTTAAGAGCCAGAATGTGCCAGAGGAGGCAATGCAAATGATCCGCTGCAGACCCAGGCAGTTTATGATAACCCAAGCTTGCCTTTTGTCTGGGGAGTTCCACAAGCCCTGATTTTCATGTGTTTTGTTTAAAACAAAACTAACAAAAAATAATTACTGTTTAACATTTAGAATCACGCCCGGAGGCCCCATTCAGGATGGGGAGCCCTTTGTGCCAGCTAAGAGCACAGCAAACACAGTGGGAGAAACACACTCTGCAGTAAATGGCTTGTGATCCGATTCCTGATGCTTTTAATGGTTTCTTCCATGGGAGGTGGTTTTAATAGTGAATAGCAGACCAGTGTGACCTTGAGAGATGCCAGCTTGAAACCAATGGGAGTTTTCAGGAGAGAGCAGGAATTCTGGGAAAGCAAAAATTCAGAGATTTGCAATACCCAAGTGATATGAAACAGTATTTACAAATATTTACAAACAGGCTACTGTTGGATTCAATCCTGTTTGCATCCCTCCACGCCTGCACGAATGGGCTTTCTGTGACTGATATATTCTCCATGTTTCTCATTTGACTTTTGGTTCCTGAGCAGCGAGAGTTCATACTCAAAAGCTTCCCTCTGCCACCATGAAAGCTCAGCAGTTGTGTTAATAGAGGCTGGGATTCTCTTGTAATGTCTTCAGGTGTAAAGAAAACAGCTTGTTCACCCAGAGGCGCTCAGTGCTTGCTGTTTAATTCCCTTTGAAAAGTTACTCCCTGACACGGGGAGCAGAAGCCACACCACAAATTACAGGCAGTGAATAAAACAGGATTGTTGCACATGCAGCCTGCTCCCTGCCTTTGAAATCTGAGAGCTGAGTAATTCGAAAAAGGGACTTGACTTCTTTTAAAATCAAATTGAAGTAGATGCCTGGTTTTTGACTGTGATTTGAAACGTCTGCAATAGACATTCCTGTGAGCTGGAACTTGCTGTGAGTGCCAGAGGAAGAGTAAAACCCTGCCCCACCATCCTGCTCCAACAAAGGTGCACAAAAGTGGGTGAAAATGTGTGAGGGAGGGGGTTTATAGATGCACATGCAGCCATGGTGTACCTGCACTTTAAAAAATGACAGGTCCTGTGAAAGACACAGCTGTGTGATGGGAACAGAGCCTGTCCCAGGAGCAGGGAGATGCTGGGGTTCATGGCTTTGTGTGCCTCCATGGCAGCCCTGCAGCCAGACTGGCCTTGCCAGGGAAAGGCTGAGCAATACCCACTCATCTGACAGGTACAAGGCAGGAGGAGAGGGCAGCACGCCCACCTCTGCTTCCAGGAGCCCTGCAGAGGTACCCAGGCTCAGGGGACACAGCTCTCCCTGCTAAGCCTGTCTCCCTGATGAAAGGAAATGCCTTAATGAGCTCAACAACTTCTCTGTCTTCAGGAAAAGGACTTAGAGCAGGACTGGGAGCCACCCAGCAGGGCTGATGCTCAGGCACCATGTGGCTTCAGTGCAAGAGCTGAGTCAGGAAAGCAGCTCTGAGGAAGCAGTGACAGCATCCCTCTCCCTCTGCCAGCCTGCACAGGAGCTGCTGGGATCCTGGACTGACCCCAGCAGCAGCAGCAGCAGCAGTGTTAAAACAGCCCTCAATTATTTGTCAAGGCTAGTTAGCACAACACAAGTTGTTTTGATTGTACAGCGTAACCTGCAAGTGCCACCAGGTTTACAGTCTACACTGACATTTCCTTTATCTTTCTGTTCTCCATCTGTCTCCTTTTTTACAAGGACAGATTGGACAGCCTGACGTCATGTAAAACAAGCAGGGGAACTGCCTCCCTCCCCTCACCATTGCTCCTAGCCAGCTGCTCTCCCTGCCCAGGCAGTCTTTCTTTTTAAACAGCCACTGGGGCACAGGAGGAGTTTAACCAGGTAAGTGTGTGTGAGAGACAACTGCTCATTTCGAAAATTTAAAGAGGTTTATTAAACCTTAACAAAAATACAACAAAGGACTACATAAGGGAAAAGCTGCAGTGCTGGGAACTGCCCCTCATGGATACCACATGGCCAGTTCATCTTCAGGATGGATGCTCAGTCTTTTATACCCCTGGGGCTTGCATCAGCCAGCCCTGGCCCCTCCCAAAGTCTGTCACTCAGCTCTTCTGTTCCATTTATCAGTGCAAACTGCTTTCTTGTCACTGGATTGGAGCTCAGGTGTTGCCATGCCCATCCCCTAAGCACCCCCAAGCTTTTCCATTCCCAGCTGCCCCAGGCAAGGGACACCTGTGCAGCTTCTTTGTACCTGTCCTGGACAGCCCAGGCTGTCTGATGGCAACAATACAGGGGGGAAAGGGAACTGTGAGAACAGAGGACATCTAAACTACAATAACATAACTGTACATCACTAAAGCTTTTCTTAATATTCACACAACAGTCATCCCTTAATTGTGAGAGCCAATCATCTCATTATCCATCTATAACATGTGGAAGGAAGTGGCTGCCAAGCTGCACTGCACTGCAGGAGGTGCTGAAAGGCACTGATGTCCTCCATACCTTCACTGGGAATTGTCCTGGTTAGGTTAAGAGAATCACACAATCACAGAATTGTTTAGGCTGGAAAAGACCTCCAAAACCATTGAGTCCAGCTTTTGACTGACTGCCATCCTTCTGAACACATGGCACGTGCTGAGTGCCACATCCAACCATTTCTTGCACTCCTGCAGGGATGATGATTCCACCACCTCCCCAGGCAACACATCCCAATGCTTAAAAAAAATCTCCCCATTAAGAAATTCTTCCTGATGTCCAACCTGAAGAGAAGCCAGACACTTAGAAATTAGGCATATAAAATGTTGTTGCACAAGCATCCTTAAATTGATCATTTTGTGCTTCATAATTCTTACACAGACATGCTTTAGGTAGAGTTTACAACTTTTATCAAAGCAAAACAAGACACCTTTAATGAGTCCTCACTCTGCCTCTGTAATTTTCCAACATAACTGAGCTGAACCAACACAAAAAGATGTGGCCCAAGCAGGTCTCCTTTGGCCAAGCTGCACACCAGCTGAGATGTGAGGTGCAGCCTCAGCCCACCCTGGTGTGAGCTCTGCCTTTGCCAGCACTGCATTGCCAAGGAAGTGGCTGGGTCTAACTCATACACAAAATAAAACAGAATAAATAAATGTGCTTTCCCAGGGTGTGTGTGAATAATGTTATGGGAGTGTCTGAATTCACGTACATTTCTGTGAAACTTTGCCCGCTCATCTTGGCGACAAATGAAAATAATTCCAAAATCCTCAGATCAATTCCATCTCCTAGCACAGGAATAAAAGACCTGAGTGAGAACTCTGCTGCCAGACTGCCTGGGCATGGCTGGGGCTACCTGCTCAGCTTTCTGAGCAATGCCTCCACCTTTCAGCTGAGGCACACTGGCAGCACTGCTGCCTTGCTGGCACTGCTTCCACGCCAAAGACAAGGAGGCCATTGCTATCAGCTTGGGGCAGAGGGGGCAGGGCACCTCTTCTGTAGGGAGGAGAGGTAGTGGGAGAGGCTGGCTTTGCTCTCTTCTCCCACAGCTGGAGCAGGAGGGGTGTGCCATGGCTCTGCAGAGAGCCACTGTCACTGTCCATGGGATCCAACAGGAAACACAGGTTTGTGCTGCTGCTCCCTCAGGTGTGCTGGGCTCCCAAGGACACTGTGCAAATGTTGGTTAGACAGAGTGGTGTTAACCCAGAGACTGCTGGGGGTTGGCCTAGGTGACCTTTAAGGTCCCTCCCAACCCAAACTGTTCTATCATTAAGGGTCACAGCAATTGCTGGGGGTGTGTTGGATTGACAGACCATGTCTCCTCTGAGGCAGCATTTTTCAGAGCAAAACTCTTCCACACACCACTGCTGCTGCTGCAGTGTTAAAATGCTGCTTAAAAAGTCATGCAAATGTCCCAGGTCAGAGTCTGGGCTGCAGCCTGCAGCAGGGGATGGGTCACTCCCCATGGCTTCTATTTTCCTGGGAGATGTGTCAGGGAGGGGGTGTAAAAAAACTTCAGCTGTTTTCAAACATGAAAACATGTTTGAAAAGTCTGTTTTCCATGCTTACAGCATGGAAAAGGCTGAGAAACACAGAGGTAATATTTTTGCAGGGCAATTAGCAGCTAATGGAAGCTATGCCAGGGTATGGATAGACTGTCTTCCTGCAAAGCCTTTCCTAGGGACACATCCTCATAGACACTGTCCCCTCTCTAAATATTGCTAAATCAGCCTGTCTGCAGTGACCACCCCAGGGAATTACATATCCATCCCAAAGTATCCCACTTGGGTGGAGCAGACAAGGGGAAATGCCTGCAAGGTCAAACAGGGATGCCAAAAATGTCAGGGCAGGAGATTCCTTTGCTTCCCAATGCAGAAAAGGGACTGCATTCAGGCTGGACCCTATCAATGTTTGCCTTGGCTGCTTTGGCTCCCTGGGACCTGACAAGAAGGTCTGGGAAGCAGGGGACTGAGTCCCCATGTTCTTGAGCTACACATCAGAATAGCTGTCACAGGTGTTTAGGAAGCCTAAACACAGCTCAGCTATTCCCAGCTGGACTGGCTTTGGCAAGGACAGAGTTAAATTTCTGCACAGTGCTGTGCTGTTTCGGGTATGTGGTGCTAAACAGTGTTGATAACACACCGATGTTTTTGTTATTGCTGAGCAGCTCCCACGGAGTCAGGGCCTTTTCTGCTCCTCACTCCCCCCATCGATGAGAGGCTGGGGCTGCAGGAGGGGCTGGGAGGGCTCACAGTGGGACAGCTGACCCAAGGGTTACCCCACACCACACGGCATCCTGAGCAGCAGGCAGAGCTGGGGGAGAAGGAAATGGGGATGCTCAAGCGATGCTCTTTGTCCTCCCAAGCTGGGTGTGATGGAGCTGGGCTGTCCTGGGGATGGCTGAACACCCACCTGCAGCTGGGGAGGGGGAGTGGGAGTGGATTCCTTGCCTTGCTTTGCTGGCATGGGCAGCTTTTTCTTTACCTGTTAAATGGCCTTTGGCTCAACCCACAATCAAAGTGCAATTTTTGCACTTTGACATTTCTGATTCTCCCACATCCCACCTGTGAGTGGGGATGAGCAAGTGGCTGTGTGGGGCTGAGCTGCCCACCAGGTTCAACCACGACTGCAGCAATGTTTTTAGGCCCTTTCCAAGTTTACTTGAAGCAATCAGTCTCTTGATTTGGGCCATCTCTGGCTCAGGCCCTGTAGTTCTCCTTAGGTGTTCACAATTCCAGCAGTGAGGATGGCCAGTGGCATGTGCCACCCTCACCAGTGATGCCTCAGGTTTTGGCTTTCATATTTTTCAGATTCTGTTCTGCTTCAGTGTGTAAGTTTAAGGTTCATATTAGGGGATGGTGAGTTCTCTTCACAGAGTAGGAAGACAAAACAATTCCTTCTCTAGCTGGGGACCAAGGACAGCCGATCCAGATCTCAGGCTCAAGAGCATAAACAACATGGACTGAAGAGAGAAAAACAAGAAGGATGGGACTTCATAACCTAATCTGTGATTGGACAATTAGCTCCAATATACAAATGGACCAAAACTTATAAAAGTGTGAGACCCCATGACCTGTCATCCATTTTTGTGGCCATTTTGGGTTGTGCTGCCCAAGGTGGATCTATTGAGGCCTCCTCATAAATCCCTACTTTATTCTTTAGCTCTGTCTAATCTCTGTTCTAGGCCAGCCTTCACAAGGCATCACCAGCCCTGCTCAGCTGTGGAGAAGCCACAGAGACTTAGGAGGACAAAGGATCAGGTTTCCCAGTTTCCATGTCCTTCTGTCTTGGTGTTCAGGATGCATAAATCAGTTTGAAGGGAGAAATTCTGTGGATATTGAGACTTTGGCCTAACACTGTTACCATGAATTACAGTTCATTAGCTCTCCAGTACAGAAGAGGTTTTTTTGCTATGGAATTAAAGTTTCCTAATTATTCCTACACTGCCCAGAGGATAACCATTTTGCATAAATATTTCTCACTTTTCCTAGCCAGGTAAGGAAGTATTTCTGACCTGGCAATATTTATAATCTTCAGAAAGTCTGCATTTGCTTGATCATGACTTCTTCTTTTTTTTTTTTTTTTAATTGAGCTAGGGCAAAAGTCAATGACAATGAAACAACTAGAAAATTCCCTGGGGTAGTTCTCTAGTGGGACACGAGAAGTTTAATTATGAGCCATTGCTAGTGGTATGCATGTGAATGTATTCTAGAGGGTTAACACAGACAGTGTGTAGAGTTTCTTTCTTGAGCAGAAAGTGCAGATCCCAGTGGCCTTACTTGCCCTCCTAAATAATAAATCACTTTTATGAATGATTCCAGGAGAAGCTACCTGCCTTGCTGAAGTTATTCCTGTGCTGTGGTTGGGAATATCTTTGGTGTCAGGGACTCAGGATGTGATGGCTGGAACACTGCTGCTGGAGATATTTGGTCAGGCAGGTTTCAAGCAAGTCAGGACTAATTTGTGATTTTTTTATTTATTCAGGGTTTTTTTATTTATTAGGAGTGGGGGAACACAATAACAACTTTGGGGCATTTTTAAATTAAACAACAAGGATGAAAAAGAAAACTAAAGTGAATGTAAGTGATTGATGCTGTTTATTTGCTCTTGTGTTGCCAGGGAGCTCCAGGGAGAGCAGGGAACAACCAATAAGCAGGCAGTGGGGGTAGAGGAGGAGGCCTTTTTAATTATATCACATCATTTTTCTAAGTAATATTATGTTATCTCACACAGGGTCTCAAACATTTTGGAAACACAGCATGTTACAATTTTGCATGTGGATTTGCCTGCTCAGCTATGGTTAACCACTGACTTCATGCTTAGGTTCCTGCTTAGATAGGCTGCCTTGTCACCCTCACACTGTTGGGAAGTTAATGATCTAGGAGAGATAGGAAATTGGAGAAGGAGTTGAGCATCCAAAGGATCCCACACTTAAAGCCATGTGCCTGCAGCAGGACCAGCAGAGAGTGGCCAGCACAAAGGGAGCTCAGAGCAGAGAGCACAAGTCACTTCTGTCCCTGCAGAGATGTCCCCTCCCCAGGGAAGGGACACACTGTGTGCAGCAAATCAGGCAGAGGTGGAGAATGGCCAGGTGAGATCTCTGGGTTCACCTGCACTGGCTGTGCTAGAAATTGGGTTTTCCCCTCTGCTCCTGAAAAAGTGGAGCAGTTGTTAAACAGAACAGAAAAAAAACAGGCAAAGAGGTGCATCATCCATCAGTGAAGCAACAGCCAGAGTAGTCTGGGTGTTTGGTTTCCCTCATGGTGCTTTGCTTTGTTGTAGCAAAAGCTTTCTTAAGAAAGATGGGAGAAGGGAAATCCTTTCTCCTGGATGGGCTGGAAGCTGCCTCCTGTCACACAATACAGTCTCCAGACTGTGCACATGACATGGCCCTCACTGTGGCAGGCACTGGCCAGCCCAGTGGATATGAAGGCTCCTGCTGCTTCAGCATCTGCTCTCCACAGCTGGGCACAAGTTCCAGCAGCTCCAGGGATCTCTCTCAGGCACAGGATGCTCGTGTTCAGTTATCCCCATCCTGGCAGGATAAAGGCCTACCTTGGGATACAGCTCTATCAAAGCACGTGCAAGTACAAAGTAACAGATCTCACAGGAGATACTGAGAGAGGAATCATGCAATTAAGGTTCTGTTGTGGAGAGATGTGATTAATCCGTGGAGATTGCATCCACAGGAGCATTCTAGGGCATGGCACAGAACATCCCAGCCTTTGCAGAGGTCCAAATCATGTGCCAGCCCAAAACGTGTCATTGTCACCATCAGTCAGCACACCCTGGTTTCCCTTCTGTTCAGAAACTGTGGAGAGGAGGTGGCAAGGGAGGTATGGGATCAGAATGGGGTGGAGCAAATCTGGAACTAGCAACCAGTTTGGAAATAAAGACCCAGTTTAGAAACTGAGGCTTACTGGAATTGTGTCAGTATTTGAGCAATCAAGTCAATGAGGATCCACAGAAAACCTCACAGGAATGATCAGACACACCTCATTCCATGAGAGCTGGCTGTGCCTACAGAAGACCCCACACACCTCAGAGAAGTATCAGGATGATGCTGGGCAGGGCAGGGAGTTGGACTCCATGGTCCTTGTGGGTCTCTTCCAACTCAGCAGAGTCTGTGGTTCTGTGATTCTCTAACAGAAGTTTTGTGGCTGCAGAGGAGCCACAACAACACCAGCTCACAAATACACTTCCATGAGCAGCAGGAAGAAGTCCAGTGATGTCCAAGAAGGCTCTACATGTCCATTGTCCTCTCCTGTCCAGCACAGCATCTGTTGGGGGAGGCTCAGTCCCTGCAGCCTCCACCCAGGAACTGCAGGTCTCTGGTGTGGCTGATGTGTGCAGCCACCAGGTGTGGCTCAGGGGCTGTTGGAATGTTGGGGGACACAAGACAGATGATGCACTTTGGGCCTGGCTAACATAAGAGATTTGATTACAGGTTGCCTTGGCAAAAGCAAACGGAACTTTGAAAATTAGACCTGGATTGCAAGAAGATTAAATCAAACGGGTTTACCAGAAAAAGAAAATCCCATTAAACTCTGCAAGCAAGAGATGCTGTTATATGCATAAGTTTGTGTATGTGATTTTAACCCAATCATTGTAGTACACATTACTAGTCTCCCTAAAATAGTATATAAGTGCTTGTATCCCACAATAAAATCGGATTCTGATCACCGAGTCAGTCTCCCCATTCTCTCCATTGCCAACAAGGGGCCACCACCAGCATGGGGAAAGCAGGAGCAGGGCCACCTCATGGGTATGCCTATGAGTCACTCCATTTAGGGGCACAAATGATTTTCACCCTACATCCAAAGCCTGAAGAATTGGTCTGTGATGAAAAAAGGCTGTTGGGGTCCCAGATATTTCTTTATTCCTTTTTTCTCCTTGTTTGTGCAGGAGTGATGCATTTTTCTTCTCGAAGTAAAATCCAGGGGCCTTCTTCCCCTCTATTCTCAGTGATATGCCATTTTCCTGTATTGCATTCCCAAAAGAATTAGAGGAGGGAAAAACATCTTTTCCTGCACAGCATGTTGACACACTGCCAAGATACTGCAAGGGCCATAAATAAGTGCAGAAATAAGCTTGATATGTAAGACCTGAGACCCTACCTTTATAGCTCCAGATTTCCATGAGTGTCTCCCAAGCCAGAAGGTGTGATATGATATCAAACTCTACTAACAGATGATTTAGACAGCAAAAAGAAAAACATACAAGTCTGATGAGGAAAATGTACATTATAGACCAGAATAAAGGGGCGGAGTTTAAAAGATTAAAATGGAGACTGACTGGCAAAGTTGGGGTAAGGAGAAGTCCCCATATTTCCTGTGTGGTTTTATGTCTGTAGAGTCTGTTTTGCAATGATTGATATAACAAACAAGGGACTCACAAAAAGGCTCCTAATGTTCACTGATCAGAAGTATAATGACGTGTAAGCTGCAGCTGTTCCAGTGGATTTCTAAACAGCAGGCTCTTGTTGAATGAGCCCCATGATTATTTATCTCCATCATGGGCTCTTTATTCCAAGGTATTTGTTGTCTTCCCTGCATTTTGCCCGTCTGTCCTTATGCACAGAAAGCACCGATAATGGATATTTTTTTATTAGTCTCCTCTTCCTTTTCCTGCTTCTGCAAACACAAAGCTGCATCCCCAAATCATCCTGCTACAAAAGGGAAGGCACTGCCAGTGTTTTAACAAGGGCCTCCCACAGCATTCTCCCCCATTAGCCTCATAAACACAGGGCAGTGCAGGAGCACGTGCTGCAGACAGAAGGGTCAGGAGACTATTTATTCTCCCCATTTAAACAAAAATGCTTTCTCCTGAGCAAGGGGAGAAGCAAACAAATAAATTAAGCTGTGCCTTGATGAAAGCCTTTAAACTGTGTCCTTGGGAAATGTACTGAGTGTGGGGATAGTGCAGGGCAGTGTTTAACTTGGCTGATTTGAAATGGTCTGTGAATAAGCGGAGACGTTGCAGGGGCACAGAGTGCATTCTGCCTTTTGGTTTGTGTTTCTTTTAATATCTTGTGCCTGGTACAACCTGCTCTGTTCCAAGGTAAAGTGCTGCTTCTTTGAGTCTCTTTCTGACAGCACTGTGAGCTGAAGTCACAGGACTGGGGTAGGCAGAGGGAAGACCAGAGGTCTGGCTGTGCTTGCCACAGACCTGCTACATCCTGGATGCAGTTTTCCTGTCTGCCAGATAAGGATGATTTTTATGCACCCACCTCACAGCTAATGGATTACTGCTTGAAATGACAAACATTTTTACTGTTTTCTTGAGACACGCTGTAGGCAGGCATGGCTGAGCAGTCTCTTCTCAAACAGGAAGCCATCCCCCCAGTCCCTTGGTTTATCACTGCTGTAAACCTGCACACACGGTCCAGTTGCAGGCTGGAAATTATACTTGGGAATTCATTGGCTAAAAGCAGAACATAGTTAAAAAAGGAAAAGCTCTTTGGATAGTGTGAACTGGCATATAGCATCCCTGATGTCTGCAGGGTTATGCTGACTTATACCCAGCAGTGACATGGCTCTACATATCCATATTTTCAACATTTTAATATGAAAATAAATGTTTCTATTATTGTATTTAATTTTCAGCTGGTTCTTTTTTTCCCTTTTTTCTCCTGGGATGACATCATTGGAAGCCTGTTAGTATCACTTCTCTCCCTGTCACTCACTGTACCAATAAGTATTTTATCTCCATATGAGAGAACTGTAAGTAAAAAAGGCTGTAAACTACAAAGGCTCTTTGATTATCATGTTCATGCAAGGTCAGCAGAAAGAGCATGCCTGGTATTTTTAAGAGAGTTTTAAACATTATTTTACATTTTATTCCTATTTATGTAAACACAGAAATGAAAGGCTGATGCTTTGACACATTCCTGCCCTTCTTCCCCAATGAACTCTTCTTTCTGGAAGCCTGGAAACCAGTGTTACACAGGCTGTACAGAGGAGGGCACCAAGCCTGTGCATTCCTTGAATGGTTTGGCTTCACTTTAAAGGGGTGGTGAGTGACAGTAAACCAAAACCTGATGTACAAATGGAGTCTCCAAACCAGTGTCAGTGTGGGTGTGGGCTCCTCCCGCCATGCAACTTTGTATGAATGAAACCCACTATTAAAAAAGGTGGGCAGCCTGAAATCAAAAGCTTGCTGTGGGTTGCTGTGACAGGAGGCACAGCAGTATGCTGTCCCCTGGTCTCAGGTGCTGGAGGCATAGCCACAAGGTTGTGTTCTTTCACAGGTTGTCTGGGATGAGAAGAACAGGCAGAATGGGATGCCTCTAGTTTGGGGGTTTTTGACATTTCCAGGCAACTGCTTACTCAGACAGCCAAGAGGCTGAGACTGTGACAAAATGCAGCAGCTGAATGGCCCTGACAGATGGAGGCAGCAGCAGACCTAAAGGGCAATGGAAAACTCCAAACTGACAGCGTGACAGCTCTGGCTCACTAGCAGCCCCTCACCTCTGGAGGAAGGTCATAGCACATCCAAGGAGAGGTCAGTAGAGGACAGCCTGATGTGGATGGGAACCTTGGAGAATGCAGACATGACCTCTGCAATGCAGCAGGAAACTTCTGCAGCTCATTCTTCACCTCAAGTGCTTCAGTGGAATCAGCAATGACTGTGCACCTCTTGTGCTCTGCAGATGTTGATGTCTCCTTTAGCCCTGGGTCTTGTTCTCCTACAAGGATCTCTTCTTAAGAGACACGGAGCACTTGCTCATCTTCCGCAGCTGCACCGGCCCCAGGAGCCAGGGAGCTTCTCACACCCATCCTGACTATGCTCTTGTGACACCCAGGTTGAGCCCAGGTGTGCCAGGAGCCGGGGATGAAGCTCAGTCTGCAGTGGAAGCCACGGCTCTGTGTTTGGTCGGGGAGCCTGTGGGGTTCCAAGGGGGTGTTTCAGAGCTGACTGAGCTGTAGCCACTGGAGCAAGGGCACGTAGGGACCTGCAGGGTGGGGACAGCAGAAAGTCAGGCTCATGCAACTGCATTGATTGAGCCAGGGCCCAATTTTCTCCATCAAGTGCTGAGAATGCACCGTGTTTATTATTAGACAGCGCTGCTTCTTTTGTTGCATATATCAATACTCAGAGGAACCGGGCAAAATCACGTGCCCGTGGCTTTTTATAGTACCCAGAGTTCAAAAAAAGCACAGGGTGCTTTTAGCCAGATTGCAACATTTTTGTCTCACACAGCTGATGGGCTGTCTGCTCTACATCCATTCATTTTCTGCTTAAAAGGTCATGTTTAATTTTCCAAATGAGCTCCCCCTCCCATCAGCATGAGTTGCTCATCTCTAGACAATGCCTTTTCTCTCTCCAAGGCAAGACATCACCGTATTTTTCCTTTGCTACTGTGCTGAAAGGGTGCTCGTGCTTACAAGGCTTGTGTGCAGTGAGGGAGAAAAAACATCTGCCACCAGTGACTTCCTAGACATGGTATATTTACAAACCTTGTTAGTTGCCATGAATACGTCATGCCTGGCTGATGCCCTTATGGGCGAAGCAAAATTGTGTGAAGGGTATTCTCTTTTCTACTCCTCTGGGAAAAAGGCCTTGTTCTGTAGAGGTAGCACATGGGTGTGAGAGCCCCAGGGGATGGGGAAGAACATCCTGCAGTTCACTTAAAACCAAAACCAGCTGGCCATCTTTAAAAGTTCTGTCACAGGGAGGTAATTGCAGTGTCTCTTCTGAGTCCCGTGGCAGCACGGGCCCAGTTTTAGTCTAAGGTCCCACCTACAAAATGTGGTTGCAGAGGAATGGTATCAAATATCTCCTGTGGTAGAGCTGTACACCTGCTATTCTTCACCCACAGAAGTGATGATCTGATGTCACCATTGCTGTTAGCCTGAGGAGTTCCTCTCCAGTGCTCTATTCTGTCACTGTGAGAGGCTCTGAGGATTTGCATCCATACTGTTTCAAAATCCCAAATGCCAGTTAATGATAGATATGGAAGGCCAGTGGCTTTTATAAGTATTCTTATGACTTCTGAAAAGGTGTGCTCTTTTTCCCAAAGCCTCCTTTCAACAGGGTCCATTCGAATGAGCTCCTCTTTCTGTTTCCAGGAACAATGCTCTTAATTTCCCTTAGCCTACTAACATCTCCTGACAGCATCTTTTGTTATCACTCGTGTTATACATTGCAGTGCAAAACTCTGCTCCTCCTGTGGCTTGGTTCTGAGGGCTTCACAGAGAAGGAGCTGAGCCTCAGGGTCCCCACAGCACTGGTTATTTTGCAGCTCTGCAGTAGGTTGCCCTCAGAAGTTTGTGTAAGCAACAGTTAAAACTTATGGAATAACTCTGACTCAGTCTGAGTGAAACAGATCCCCTGAACATGAGAAATATGTATATGGCAGTACTCCCAGGGCTGGAATCCCTCTCCCATGCCAGTACCTATTTTTGTAGCAAGACCTTTTATCCTGACTCAACTTCCTCAGCACTTAGCTGAAGAATTTGGAAGTGCTCAGGATTATTTCCATTGGCTAAATAGTCCTCCAACGACACTCAAATAGTGAAAGCTGGGATTCACCCAGGTACAAAGCTAGCTAAAGAATCATTCCTTTGCTTTCTGTTGAGCTTTAGAATGAAAATCATGCTTTGCCAGGTTTTTTTCATGTACATCTGACTGTTCCTCTAGCATCTTTTCACAAACAATTGCCTCCCACTTTAAAAGA